GTCTGTGGTTTATTTCCTGTTCCATTGGTCTATATGTCTATTTTTGTACCAGTACCATGTTGTCTTGGCTACTGTAGCCTTGTGGTAAAGTTTGAAATCTGGAAGTGTGATATCTCCAGCTTTGTTCTTTTTGCTGAGAATTGCTTTAGCTATTCAGGCTCTTTTTTGCTTCCTTATAAATTTCTGTATTGTCTTTTTTAGGTCTGTAAAAAATGATGCTGCTAGTTTGGTAGAGATTGTGTTGAATTTGTAGATTGCCTTGGGTAGAAGAGACAACTTGATAATATTGATTCTTCCAATCCATTAGCAAGTAACATCTATTTTTAATTGGATTTTTGTTCAAAGTGTTTACTACTCCAAAACCTTGTCAGTATATTTACAGTATATTTACTAAATATATTTACAAAGCATTTTAAAAAATCCAAATAATTATTGCTGTGATCTTTACTTGCTATTAAAAGAATGATAAGTTTCTGATGTTCTCATTGGGTTTTAAATTTTCTTCATAAAGATAAAGCTGAACCGTTCAAAAGAACATTTATAAAGATTATTAAGATTATTAAAGCAAGAGTTATTATTACAATATAGGAAATGGAGGGAGCATTTTTTTCTTCAGTTTAATTTTTTTTTCTTTTTTTTTTTTTTAGTGATTCGTCTCTCTTAGTTTCTTTGAACTTTTAAATTCTTTATTGTGTTATCTACTGCTATGTAACAAATTACCTCAAACTTGGCAGCTTAAAACAACAAATATTATCTCACATATTTGTGAGAGTCAGGATTCCAGTAATAGCTTAGCAACGTGGTTCCTGGCTCAGGGTCAAGGGTCTCACAAGAGTGTAGTCTTGTCTCAGGCTCTTTCACAAGAGCATAGTCAAGGGGCAGGCTATAGAGGTAGTCAGTGGAGGGCTTGATTGAAGGCAGAGGATCCACTTCCACGATCACTAAGGTTCCTCTTGGCAGGAGGCTTCACTCAGTTCTTCACCTGCTGTCGGAAATTTCAGTAACTTACCACATGGGCCTTTCCACAGACTGCTCATAGCAAAGCAGCTGGTTTTGCCCAGCACAAATGATCCAAGAAAGAGAAAACAAGACAGGAGTCACGGTGCCCTTTATAACCCAAGCTCAGAAGAGCTATGTCATGATTTTTGTTATATTCTATTGGTCACACAGACCAACCCAGGTGCAATGTGAGAGAGAACTACACAGGCTGTGAGCACCAGGAAGAAGTGATTTTTGGAGACTGTCTTGAAGACTAGCTACTATAACTCTGGTGATAGACATAATTTACTTGTAATATCAACTTGCAGAGGAAGTATATACACAGTTTGCAGCATTTATAATGAAATATATCTTTTTTTCAAAAATAGAATAGTATGATAAGAAAATTATTTAATGCTTTAATGTTATTATTGTCATGTTATTCATTATCTTTATTTAACCTATTATTACCAGAGTTTGGTTAGCATTTTGATAATTGGTATAGCATTTGTGAAGGACCTTTTAAACAATAACAAAGCATTAACCTGGCCCCTTAGTTGGAAGGCTGAGCTCAGCTGGGACTGATGTCTGTTGAAGCAATGAACTTTAATGATTAGCAGCATATTCTAGACTGTAATTCATTTCAGAGCAGCAAAATTGCTTTTTTTTCCATGACAACAACCAAAAAATAAATAAATTATAAAAAGAGCAATCCATTTCTTTTGTTCCAGGTTACTCTTTAAAACTTTTTTGGTTATGTTTTAGGTATCTTAAGAGTTCTGTTACTTGTTTATTTTATTAAAAGACAAACACAAAACAGTGTTGTCGATGGTAAGGATTTGTATAGATTGAACATTAAGAAAATATGCCTGGACTATAATATCTAAGATAACTTGTGTTTTTTGTCTCCAAACTTTTGCCACAAACCAGAATATTGTATTTTCTTATCAGTTAGTTCTATAAAGCCATGTTTTGGCAGTCTTCCATCAGTGATATTATAATACACAATCTGTTTTCATTTTATTTCTTACAAGATGCTAGCCACTCTTCACATGTTAAGGCCATCTAAAAACGTGGAAGCACAGCATTTTAGATATGGAAAGATCCCTGGAATTTGTTATGTTAGAAGTTATTTCTCATTTTGGAAGGGTTGGGAAATGGCACTGCCTCCCCATGGTCTGTTTTATCTTCAAAATCAGATTAAAATTTAGATTAAATTAAAATTAAACGTAGATAAATTAAAAATTAGATTAAAATGTGGAACCTAGTCTTATCACAGAGTAGTCTTAAATTATTGATACTTATTTACTGTATATAATCTCCAGAAAATGCCAGCACCAAGTGATACCTAATGGTTCCATAGAATTCTAGAGAAATCAAAGACACATCGAGAAGACTGTGTCCTTTTGAGATTCTCCCTACCCCCGCTACCATAGACCCACATACATATGTGTGACAGTGATCAGTTAACAGTACTTCTCTGTGAGTATTTAACTTTCTTCTTAAAAATAAAAAAGACTTTTTTTTCAGTAGCAATAAGTCTTTATTTATTTTTCCCAGGGAAAGAAGGGAAGAGAAGAGTCAGCATGTGTGTTACAAAATGATTAGAAAATGGGAAAGAATACCTAGTACAGCAAAATCAACCATCAAACACACCTCAGTGATGGGGTTGCCAAAGCCCAAAGGGGCTCAGTCTCCTGCAGTTCAGGAATGAAGGGAAGGGATCAGGAGAAGAACAGACAGGTACAGGCTTTCCTACCCTCCCTCCCTCCCTCCCTCCCCATAAATTCAAGATTTCACACAAAGCTTTGATTTCTAGCAGTGAACATGGAGTTATATTCATCCATCTCCTAATACACAATCTTGTGGCCACTTTGACATAAGTTTCTTGCACCTGCATAAAAGTTCCTGAGTGACTTGGATATATATTAATATTTCCTTTCTTGGCCTCCTGACTCCATTTTCTATGCGGAAGGCCCCTAGTTGCTTTTCTCTACTTTAGGCTTTTAGATTAAGCAGACTTGATCCATTCAAAATACAGCAGTACCCTAAGTGTTTGACATGAATCACATCAAGAATAGGTCTTGACTTAGGAGCTTGGGAACAAGGGAGGGAAGTTTTCTAGTCTCTTTAGGATCTTTGCATAAATCTTTTAAGAGTTATAGAGAAACCCCAATAACTAAATATGTGTGTGGATGGGTGTATAGCTTCTCTTTTTGCGGGGAGGATTAGAAAAGAAGGGGAAAGTAGGAGACAAGCTTTTAGGACAGAAGATCTGGTCCAAAATAGAAAACAGGGGAAGGGAGGCACAAAAGAAAGGATGGTTCAAGATCCTCACTTTAAGAGGGCCTCCAAACTAATGTGTCAGATCCTTTTTCCTGGTGCAGAAACTTCTGTCAAAGATGCTTTGGCTATTTTTCTCTCAATACAAAAAGAAGTTTGTAAACAATAAAACCCCCAAAATACATGGAGGAAGACCAACACATATTTACTCAAACTAGGCCACCTAGCAATCACCAACTCAGTGAAATCCTACAAAGCCCAGACAAATACAATCACTAGAGGTGGGGGCATCATTGAGGGAAGACAAGGAACCCAGGATCAGACACACACCACCCAAAGTATTCTATTGCATTTGCCCCGTTTCAACACAGTGAGATAGGTTTGCAGCGATCTCACAGTGATTTTTTTTTTTTATGATCAAGGTTAAAAGTAGGATATAGCACATACACACACACTCAACCACCTATACCTTAAAGAGCTTATTTTGCTTAGATTCAGGGTGATGTTATAGAGTTTAACTCTAAAGTTTAAAAACTTTCTTTGATTTTCCTTTGGCCTGTGAAAAAATGCATAGAAAACATCGTATAGAGCTAATGTTAGCCCAGGATTACCTCAAATATAATTCCTTTCTCTGACATTTGTCCCAGCTAATTTACACAAGAATTATGGTACTTAGCCAAGATTGAATCAGCCTTCAGGGACTGAGCTAAATTTTATTTCCTAAGTTGGATTTGCAGTTTTAAATTTTAATATTTTCCAAGTTCATTGACTAGAATATGTATATTTATGATAGGATAAAATCTTCAAAAATATTGATTATTACTCAGTACATTTTTTAATCTTTCCAATATTTTAAGCCAATATTTTGATTCCTACATCTTACCACTAAATGTTTTCATTTATTTGAGGATCATCTTTGTTTTATTTTATAAGAAAGTATATTCTACTCCACTTTTCTAATTTTTAGGTAATTTTTCAATTCGTTATCATTTCTCTACAGAAGATTTCTGCAAATTAATTCTCTAGGATACAGCTTTTCTTATAACATAGTTATGTAAATATGTTCATGTTTAATTAAATTATCTTATTTCACTTGTTTCATATACTTTAATAAAGCCAACCCCAATCTCAGCCTCTGAAACTATGGCCTTTCAGGGTCATCTATTCTAAACTGTATTTGTGTAACTCATGAAGAGATTGTTTCAGTTCTCTGTGAGTACATAACAAACTACCTCAAAACCTAGTGAAAAAACAATTGAGAAAATATGAAATAACCTATTATTTCTTAAAATTCTGAGGGTTGACTAGGGCTCAGCTGGATGATTCGTCTGCTGATCTCCTTCAAGATCTCTCATGCAGCTTTAGTCCATGGCAGTTGCTACTGGAAGGACCACAATGACTTCATTCTGGCCCCTTAGTTGGGAGGCTGGGCTCAGCTGGGACACTGGAATAACTGAGTCTCTCCTTCTTCATGTGACCTCTCAATGTGGTCTCTCCAGCAAGTTAGCTACTGTCTTACTTGGCAACTCAGGTCTTTTAAAAGGGCAAAAGTGGAAGCTCCCAGGCCACCTAAGGCTTAGTTCCAGAGTCCCTTCTGCCATAGTCTGTTGTTCAGTTTGGGAGATAATACTGGGAGGCATGGTTGCTTGGGGACCATCTCTGGAGACCAGCTACTACAGGGGTCATGTCTTCCTTTTCCTCCACTAAGACCTCAGTTTCTCTCTACTCCTTTTTCAGTTCCCTGTGTCTCTGGTGGTTTGCCTAAACCTACAAATATCACCTTCTTATCCATAAATATGAAGAACGTCTTACAGTGGAATCCACCAGAGGGTTTACAAGAAGCTGAAGTTACTTACACTGTGCAGTATTTCATGTAAGTTGGGTCTTTTCCTTTTGGCTAATTTGTAAACCCAATACTCAGACTCTGTTACTTGTGCAAAGATAAACCATATGTGGTATTAAAGAAGTGTTTGAAAAATAAAAGTTTTAGATATTTCATGTTGTTTTCTTGATGTTTTGCTAGATTAAATTAGAAATCAGTTTCTTCATGAAGACAGAAGCATTGGGTGCTCAGGCAAGGGGAAGTTATTAAATAGACAAAAGAAGTTGGTCAAAACATTATTATATGAGTGCACAAACAAGACAATTCATCATCTCTGAAACGTCTCCTGAGCTTTTTGAAATTATAGACATCTTTAGGCTTAGTGAAACAGTAGAGATTCTGTGCAACCAGCTGTTCCTATTAAAGACTTCAGTAAATGGACAATTTTACTTTTCACCTCTCCCTCAAAACTCATTGCAAGTAAGAAAAAGTGCAAAACAGATAGACGATGTCCATCTTTTGAGGAACAAAAGGAAATGCCGAACAAACTATGAAGCATACAAGCCAAATACTGTGGAATCCGAAAGAAAACAGCTGCAGAAGCTGAAAGAAAATCTATTTGAGCTCCAAATGCAGGAAATAACTTGACAAAATATGTAGACTAAGAGGCCTACCCAACAATCTAAGAATGTGGAAATCTAAGGATTGCCACCACCAGAAATTGAGGAAACGTCCCCATGGAGCTCCACTTTGGTGTCACAGAATGTCAGAAAAGGAGGAGCCGAAATATAAATCAGGCACAAGGGACATATTCGCTGTGGTCCCACGACAACCCAGGGAGAAGCCTGGAGGGAGCTGGGTGCAGGAGGAAAGGGAGGTGGTACTGGCTGGGAGGAGGCCCAGGAAGGATATGACTTGACAGGCATGCCAAGAGCCACAGCAGCCTCCCACAGCCCAAAACCTGAGGGCGGGCAGGCTCCTGGCAAAGAGAATAACAGATTTGGTGAGAGGGTGTTTGACAGAAACAGAAGTTTAAAATTGCAGAAATCAAAAGCTCATTATCTGAGCTCGACTCCTACACACATTTGCCTGTTCAACAAACAGCTGGCCCCATTTAAAGAATAACAGTCTCAAAGAAACTGCATGCAGAGTTCCCATCCATAATTCCTGGAAGGGGGAAAGAGGAAAAAAAGAACACAAGTAAAAGTTCCTGAAAAGCTTTCCCATGGAAGAGAAGAATTCAGATGAATAATTGTCCATAGTTTTTTAGAATCTGTAAACAACATAGTTCCTAAAGGTGAAGCTCAAAGAAAATAGTAAAAGAAGGGATTCTAAGACAACAGAGAGAAATTTTTTCTTAAAGGAAAAGGACAAAACTTAGGAAAAAATTGGAAAATAAAAATATTATATCAAGATGAAAAACCTGTCATAGCTAAATGATAGTTCTGGTTGAATAGGTAATAAAGTCAAATAAAATTTTAAAAATGCTCCTTGGAATGGCATATTACAAATTCATAGCATGTCTGAAAATTTTAAATAAAAACAATAGCAAGACATATCCTGATGAAGTTATTGAACTTTAAGAAAATTAAGTTATTTGTGACCATTATAGCAAAACCAGTACTCGAATTTGGGGAAAGGGGAGTTTCTCTCTAGCACCACTCAACAGAATACATCTTCTGAGGAAAGACAAGTGTGATCTAAAATCGCGTTAAGTTCAACAGATAGGTATTTTCAAGTAGGCAGGGACTCAGGATATCACTCCCCTGAGACCTTCTTGGTGGGGAGGGGAGGGCAGGACCACTAACCCTCTCAGCTATAGAGAGAGAAATATGAGCCTCAAAGAACATAGTAATGACACAGTTATGGCCAAAAAAGACTAGTGGCACGCAATGAATTTATCTAAACATAGAACTAAGATTAAACAGTGATGAGAAATATAGTTCTAGAACATTCTTTAAACTGCTTGAATTTAAACAGTAATATAAGAAATCAGAAGGTGGGGGAAAACTATAAGTATACTGATTTTCATAGCAGGAAGCCATTATATGTGATTCTAAATGAAAATGCTTCTTCATTTTAATAACTGATCTGTCAATATTTTTTGCAAACCATTTTCTTCATTTCAAAGCTCTTTTAGGAACGAATACCTCTTGTGATGATGAAACATTTGAACTTCAGCAATTCCTTTAATTTTACTTCAATTTTTTCTATTGAAGTTTAAATCAAGTTAAATTTACTGCTTTTATTAAGACCATGTGTGTGGTGTAATCTAATTTTTGCCTGTCTGCTCTTCCATCTAATCACCTTTCTGTTTATACATAAGCCTGATGAGATATCCAGAGTCACATACACCAAATGTTTCAGGGAAATGGGTTTCGGGATGATTTATTTCCCTTTTGGAATTGTTTGAATTAAAAAAAAAAAAAAAATTACCATATTTCCCGAAAAAGGATAAAGTTATTTTTCTCTTTGAAAAAAAAAATTCTGACCAAAACAGCCGGTGAAAAACGTCAGCAGCTTTTCGCGGTGATCGCCTTCATCCAGAATCTCATCCTCTTTTCCAAGGAGTTTCTCAGGAGCTGTGTTAGAGGAAAGAAGACATCGCCCTGCAAAGGGAAATAGCTCACCGGCATGCACTTGCCTCCTCTTCCTTTAGGTGGAGCAAAGAGCTTGCTCTGTCTTTTATATTTTTGTGTGATTCAGAAAGGGATTGAAGAAAGTGGGTAGAGTCATCTGTGCTCCGTGAGAGCAGATCATCTAGGTTGTGCGACTTTAAAAATATATATGTTTAAAAAGAACCTTGCCATGTCAGAGTTCTTCCATGCTCATGTGCATGGAAGGTGGGCAGGAAGACGCTGCTGCGTATTTCACTGCCAGCCCCGGAGTCGGGCAGTCCTCAGTTCATACCCAAGCTAAACCTAGCTGAGTAACGTTGGGCAGGTTACCTATCAGATACTTTCACACCTTTTTTTTTTTTTTTTTTAAGACAAGGTCTCACTCTGTCGCCCATGCTGGAGTGCAATAGTGCTATCATAGTTCACTGCAGCCTCGAACTCCTGGATTCAAGCAATTCTTTCACCTCAGCCTCCCGAATAACTGAGACGGCAGGTGTGTGCCACCACACCTGGCGAGTTTATTTTATTTTATTTTTTGTAGAGATAGGATCTTGCTATGTTGCCTAGGCTGGTCTAAAACTTCTGGAATCGAGCCATCTCAAACCTCAACCTCCCAAAGTGCTGGGATTACAGGCATGTGCCACTGTGCCTGGCCATACTTTGACACTTTTGAGTGACGTTTGTTTCCTCAAATGATATCCATCAAAAAGGCTTCATGAGGGAAATAGAATGTAGCCCTAGCAACATGAACTTTGGCATCGGGAAAATGGTTCAAATTTCAGATCCACCTTTCACTAGTCATGTGAACGTAATCTTGCTGAATCTCAGTTTCCTCATCTGAAAAATGGGACGAAAATAATGGTACCTACCTCCCAGGGTTGTTATAATAGTTAAATGAATTAAAGCATGTAAATCAGAGGCCACGGAGGGCCCCACCTGACTTTTTGCCCTACGTAAACATCATTACTGGAATATTCGCTGAATGATTCTGACCATGATTTATTTGTTCAGAATCTGGTAAAGAGCATTGTCTCCTTCATCAGCATCTGTCCTGGGAAGCTGCCTTGCCCTTGGAAGAGTGAAGAAATTTGAGGAGGGGGGTCACAGGCATTGGCAATCTTTTTCCAACCGCAAGTCAAGACCCTTTGATAAGATGTTTTTGAGGGATGTAACTGGCATTATTTTTAGTGGAAAGAAATGAAATAGTGTGGAGTGGAGTGGAATGGAAACTGAATGCATGACATATGGTATAGTAAAGTTAAAATATTATTGTTTATAACTTTTGTTTTGGTATGTTAGGTATATGTATGTAAAATCTATTTCTTTTCTGTGGCTCATAGTAAAAAAAAAAAATTGAAAGCTCCTAAACAATGATGATCACTTGGATTGAGAAGTTGATCAACAAGATTTGACTATATTTCTAAAGTCTTTGGTAGGCATAGCACTAATGAAATGGGAAACATTTACTCTCAGAAATCTGTTGTCATCTTCTGAAAAGTGAAGATATCCTTCAGCTTTGGCAATATTTGATAAAGCTGACATGTCTTCCTTCTCAAGACATTCTCTTCCCTTGACTTCTGTGATTTGTGTTTTTCGTCATCCCTCTTTAGCTGCTATTCCAGGTCTACTTTGTATCCAGCCTTTAAATCTTGATGTTCCTGGGGTTTTTTCTTAGATTCTGCTTTGTCTCCATGGATAATTCATTCATGCCTATACCTTCAACAAGGCATTTTATGCCACTGACTCCAAAATCCCTACCTCCCACTTACTCCTCTCTCCTGAGCCCCATTGCCTGCTGGGCATCTGTATTTGGATATCTCTTAGATACCTCAAGCTCTACCTGTCAGAACTGAATGTCTTACCCTTTCATTCTCCTATCCCTCCCCATTTACCAAATCCATTCCTCCTCAGTGTTCCTTATCTGGGTGAATGTTACCACTGTTCCACCTATCTGCCCTAGACAGAAAGTGACATCCTCCTTAACCACCTTCATTTCCCTAATCCCCTGCATGCGCTCAATCACCAAGTCCTGTTTCCTGATATTGCTTGCTTTTATCCTGTCCTCATTCATTCTGCTGCTACCATTCTTGGTCAAGCCACCTGTCTTCCGCTGGACCACTGCAGTATCTTCCCAACTTCTCCCCAGGCTGCCACTTCTAACCCATCACCTTCTCCATACTACTTCCAGAGTTAGCATCCTACAACAGCCCTCAACTTGTCCCTCAATACCCTGACTTAATCCTTCTCTTGCAACTCTGTCTCTGTCTTTGGCTCGTCACATGTCACCTAAACTCTACTGCTCAGTCTTTCCCATTGAAAAGGGCTAAAAATATTTCTTCCTCCCTATTTACTGTGAGGAGTGCTTTTTTAATAAGGAAAAGGAAAATCCATATAAACAACTTAGTCACTATCATCATTATCACCTTGTAAATGCTTTCCGGAATTCGTTAAGCTTAGCAGATTTTTTAAAATGTTACAGGAATGCCAAAGTAACTTCTCTTCCAAGAAAAAAAAATGACTGATGTTCTTAAAACAACCCATCAAACTGACCTCGTATCCATGGTGGATTAAAAATTTACTAGAATAACTGTAATTATCTAGAATAGATAATTACTAGAAGAACTGATCACACAATGTGTACAAATTTTACTACAGCCAAAACATAAAAACAAAAGATATACTTTCAAAATGTACTATCCACATTATAATTCACAGAAAAGAGAGGTGATTACAGAAACTCTGACTCATGTTCCTGACAGCTAATGAAAAAATTGCCCACAGCGAAAGTGGATTCTTTCTTTTTTATCTCAATGACAGGCACTTTTGTTTTTCTGAAGAGAAGGCCTTTGGTTCCATTCAGTTTTATATAATGACTGAGGTTTTTTATTGTGAAGTATAGAGGGCACGTCATTAATTCATAGCTTCCTTCTTGACAGATATGGACAAAAGAAGTGGCTGAATAAATCCGAATGCAGGAATATTAAAAGGACCTACTGTGATCTTTCTGCTGAAACTTCTGACTACGAACACCAGTATTATGCCAAAGTTAAGGCCGTTTGGGGAACAAACTGTTCCAAATGGGCTGAAACCGGGCGATTCTATCCTTTCTTAGAAAGTAAGTAATGCAACTATCACAACTGTTGGGTAAGCATGTGTTAATATCAAGTTCATCTGACCTCCTGGTGTAACAACCTCAGTCTCATAGCACCTTGCCTAGAGGAAGGTGCTCTGCTTGGTTCTATTCTGTAATAGTGAGTTGAGTGACCAGGGCAAGATGCTTCCCCTTGCTGGGTCTCCAAGTCTCATCTTAAGAATTAAAAAGCTAAGATTTCACCCAGATCCAAAAGTGATGCTAGTTGCCAACAATATCAAGTTTTTTATTTTGAGGAATTAACAGATTTTTCTTCTAGTGTAGGTTTATGAACTATTAACATGTGTCCACAAGATTGATTAAAGATTAATTGGTTAAAGTTCTGATCACCCAACTAAGTCTCTTCTTATCATGAACTTGATAGTGTGATGATATCATTTCTAGGTGTAATTCAAAATTAAGGCAACATCTTCCTGCTATTTGCTTTTATAATTTTGCCCCCTGATCTGTGACTGACTCAGCCATGAAGGATCCGCTCAGGGCCACCATAATGAATTCTGCAAGTACTCCATAGGCCCTGGGGCTCTTCCAGATCAGAGGTCAGAAAACTACGGCCCTCAGGCCACATATCCAGCTCCTGCATCCCATGCTTTGTTTTTCTACAGACCAAGAGCTAAATACGGTATTCATATTTTTAAATGGTTTTTAAAAATCAAAAGAATATTTTGTGGCATGTAAAAAGTATCAGAAATACAAATTTTGCTGTCTAATGATGAATAAAGTCTTTTAATAAGTCACCCCCATTTATTTACATAGTTATCTACTGTCCATAGCTTTATGATAAGTTTCCTGACCTCTGTCCTAGATCATTCTACTCACATCTCTGATGTTCCACTTATCCAATCACGTTAACGTTATTTATTACCAACTTATCAAGTCATAAGAATGTTACAAACAATTTCGATCGGATTTGCCAAAATACTGTTTATTCATGTGACGAGAAACCAAGAAAGCATAACACTTGAATTTGCTGTCTTAATATTGTGTCAAGCTCTGTGACAGGCTTGTGTCAAGATTTAGCATAACTTGGGCCCACATTAGTATATTTTGAAGCATCTCCTGTGAGAGGGTGGCTTTTAGGGCTTTGATTTGAGTAGAATTTTATGATCACTTTATCTAAGGTGCATTTCACAGCTGAGCATAATACCCCCCCCCCCCCCCATTTTAAGCACGAATTGGCCCACCAGAGGTTGTTCTGACTACGGATGTGAAGTCCATTTCTATTGTCCTGACGGCTCCCGAGAAGTGGAGGAGAAATCCAGAAGATAGTCCTGTTTTCATACAACAAATATACTCCAATCTGAAGTACAATGTGACCGTATATAATACTAAATCAAATAGAACGGTAAGCCTGAAATGGAATGAGGCATAAAAGCACTCATGTACACTTTTTGTAGCCAATGCTGGAACAAACATCCCTGATGCCTTGATTCTCTGTGTGTGAATCTGGAAAGATGTGATATTCAAAAGAGATATGTAGAAAATGTATAGCACTGACTTCAGATTTTTGTTACAGAAACTCTGTGAGCAGGGAATGGTATTGCTACAGGAGTGTAGATTGATTATGCACTTCACTTTGACAGAAAGTTTTTAACTGCACAACATCTGCCAGCCACTCTTCACAAAGAAAAAATGTTAGCAAGAACACAGGACAAAGTTGAACTCCATCTATATGTTATTGTTTAGAATTGCTCCCAAAATTGGTTCCCTTTTTGACCATACTCTGCAGAGCTACAAGGGGGCGACTCTCCCAAAAAAACGAATTATCTTTTGGAGGGTGGGCCTCTTGTAGTACACTGAGAATTTGTTTCTCTGGATCAAATCATCAACCAAAGTTTTTGTCTGGAAGTTTTGAGAAGGATTCATCATGATTAGCAGAAGAAGTGTCTCTAGTTGAGGCAAACACATGACTGATTCTTCCACCATGACAACACATCTACCCACACCACGCTAAGCGTTCAGCAGTTTTTGACTGAAAATAGCATGACTCCTGTACCCCATCCTCCCTATTCATTTGCTCTCACCCCAAGCAAATTTTTTGGTTCCCCTGGATTAAAAAAAAGTCCTTGAAGTGAAACGTTTTGTCAGTGTGAAAGCGGCAAAACAAAAAACAGCAGAAGCACTAAAATGTATCAAAATTGATGGTCTCTAAAACTGTTTTGAACAGTAGCAAAAGCATCTTAACAGGTATATTGCAAAAAAACAGAGTACTTTGAAAGTGACTAAAGTTTAAACATATAAAATAAATACACAGTTTTTAATAAATAAATTCCAGGGGTTTTGAGGGTCTCTCATTATAAAGGAAAAGGGTATGTTGAACTTGTTGCTAGAAAAAAAAAAAGCTTATGGTGATAGTAAAGGATTAAATGATGGCTCAGGTATTTTATTTCCCCTCTAGACTTGTTTGTCTGGGGTGATCCCAGAAATCTTTGGTTTTAATTGTTGTTTGCAATTCCCCATTCTAGTGGTCCCAATGTGTAACCAACCACACGCTGGTGCTCACCTGGCTGGAACCAAACACTCTGTACTGCGTCCACGTGGAGTCCTTCGTCCCGGGGCCTTCTCGCCGTGCCCAGCCTTCTGAGAAGCAGTGTGTCAGGACTTTGAAAGGTAAAGCTTAAAAAAAAAAAACAACTCGGCTGATCTGAGAAGAAAATCTGCTAAAGTGAGAAGGAAGTATGGCAGTTTCAACAGGGTATTGGCAAATCCATGTCTAACAGAAACAGGTTGAGGCAAAGACAGAAGCAACTGTCATCAGAAGTGCATCGAGCAACCTGGCATCCTGCCATTGAGCTTGACCAATGCCTGGGGGTGTTTTAACACCCTTGGAGAACTCTCAGTATTGGTCCTGGCGTCTACTGCCAACTATCTTCCCACAGCCATATGAATGCCTGCCCCGTAAAAAACCAGTTAAAAAATTTTACACACATCTGTTTTCTTTTTAAGATCATTATCACTCTGATCAGTAGTAGTTCTGTGGTCTCCAAGAACATCAGACGATTTTATTGCTTGAAACAAAGCATTATCCTAAAAAACAATGTAAAACAGACATTTTTTTCCTCCCCCGTGGAAACACAAATTACAGGCTCTTCTAATTGCATTCAGATATCACTTACTGGCTGTGGGAGAGTCTTGGATCAGCAAATCAACGATTATTCCTCACAGCCGCTCCTCTCTTCTTCCTTTTGTCTCCTAAACTGAGCTGCTGGGAAGCCCAGGCTGAAGGTGCTCATTCCTGTCAGGAGACATAGAATCGAGAGCTTAGCATTTGTTTAATCTTTCTTTCCCCAGGATGAGAGGAGCTTGAACTCAAAACCTGAAAACTGAAAGAAAATTAATCCTGACGTTTGTTTGCATCAAAGGGTTCTTCATCCATTATTCTTCTCTTCTCTTTTTTTAAATTAAATTTTTTATTTTAAAGATGGGTACAATTCAGGGTTAGGTATACAAATGTTCATTATGCAGGCATTCTCCTGTTCTCTTTCAAGCATGCTGGACTAGAGACAAAGCCCACAACCATGTACCCCTTGCCTTGGTTCAATCACCAGCATGAATAGGAATCTATAACCCCTGTTTTTCTCTTCCCTCACCACTCCCAACTTTCAAGATGAAACCATCCCAAGGAGAAGAAAGGGGGTTTTGTGAGTACGTATGAAAAGTTCAGGGCTTTGCTTTTGAATCTCTGTCTTTATCATAGCTTTTCTTTTTCAAAGGAAGGGTTCTTTACTACAGGGGTCTCTAATCCCCAGGCCTCATATGGTAGGTGTCAATGACCTGTTAGGGATCAGCCACACAGCAGGAAGTAAACACCATGCCAGCAGAGCTCTGCCTTCTGTCAGATTAGTGGTGGCATTCGATTCTCATAGGAGCACAAACGCTATTGTGAACTGTTTGTGAGGGATCAAGGTTGCGTGCTTCTTATGAGAATCTAATGCCTAATGATCTGAGGTAAAGCTGAGGTGGTGATGCTAGCATTGGGGGGTGACTGCAAATACAGATTAACATTAGCAGTGAAGTTTGACTGTCATCTTCCCCCACCATCCCCACCACCCCTGTCCGTGGAAAAATTGTCTTCCATGAAACCTATTCCTGATGCCAAAAAGGTTGAAGACCACTGCTCTACCATATGTCAAATAAAACTAAAATGCCAAGCCAAACAAAGCAGATTGAAGAAATCATTTTTGTATTTGGAAAAAGTGCTCTATTTACTAACAACTTGATCAGTGCCAACAAATAGGAATGAATTTCCAGAGAAAACCATTAACAAAGTTGGCAGAGCGAAAGCACTGAAAGCACAGATCAAATTCAGTACTTCCCAGTAAGGGAATGGAGCCCACTTTCTCGATGGTGCAGGAAAAGTAACAGAATAACAGGGCGCTATTGCTGGTTCTGAACTTTCTCCTGAAAGCCCAGCTGTTGGATCACCTGACGTATCCTTACTGTAAAGGTTTGAGATGCATCCTGATGATTCCTTAAGACCATTTGTTGTCAGAGGGAGCAAGTATTCTTAGACCCTTTATAACATTTCGATTGAGCTTCTCAACATAAAAGGTGGAAAACTGAATTTCCAAATGTAAGTCATCTGCCCAAAACCTCTTGATAATGCCAGTTTTTTCCTACCACACCAAATCACAACTTTCTTACCCTTTTTTTGTTTTGTTTTGTTTGTTACAGATCAAGCATCAGAGTTCAAGGTTAAAATCATCTTCTGGTATGTTTTGCCCATATCTGTTACCGTGTTTCTTTTTTCTGTGATGGGCTATTCCATCTACCGATATATCCACGTTGGCAAAGAGAAACAGCCAGCAAATTTGGTGAGTTCTTGCTATGGCCAGGGCCTTATTTTAACAGCCCACCTCTTGAAGAATAGAACAGATACCATCCCATTTAAAGGCGAGGTGAATTTAAAGCTAAATTCACTTTCTGGATCAGCTCACTAACACAACCAAAGATAAAGATTCCTTAGCTTTGAAAAGATTTTACGTTGAATGACCAGATTATCGAAGGTCCCAGGGTGCACAGATAAATTCATGATCTCTGGCCTTCTAGAAGTTCAAGCCTAGTCAAGGACTACCATATGGGATTAATGGTAGTAAATATCCGTCTGGGGACGGGGAGACACCTCTTATCAACAAGGGTGCTTGAACGAAGCATATTTGTATACCTAACCCTTAACTGTACCCCCACAATATCATAATAAAAAATATTGATTATGAAGAAAGATAATAATAATATGTGAAGATCAAGATGAAAGCAGGTACTGGGGCTTTGGGGGATTCTGAAACCTTACATGGGTGCTCGGCTCACGTGCCAGGGCTTGGTTAGGAGAGGTAAGTAGACATTAGGGCCCTAGTACAGGCAGAAGAAGCAGCAGGGTCGGGGGGGGGGGGATGGGGGGGAAATATATG